TATGCATTTAAATTCAAACCTTTTATTTTGAAAGTGTGCTCTTACCAACAGTATGATTTCTTCGAGATTTAATTTACTTACCCGGCAATGGCATAGATAGCGTTTGCGTTGGCTACAAGTGACACGCGACTTCGCTTGATGTTCATTGGAGTAACCGGTGTCCAACGCATTGTGGTGGGATCGAAGCATTCAACACTATTCAGAAATTGTGCTCCATCATAACTGAAAATGCTCAAATCATCAATGGCACAGAGAAGACAAGATGCTTTTGGATGATAATTTGCGTAATTGCACAACACATCCTGCTTGCAGAAAAGGGAAGGCGTGGTTAACTCGTGCCTCTAAGTCAGATTCGGGGTACAATTGGAGTAAAACCATGCATGCGCAAAATTTCCATTCTACTTTGTTAGAGTAAGGTTCAGTCCTCTGATTTCCAGTAAAAAATTTAAAAAGAGATACCCGACAAATTATTAATTGATTGTTCAACTGCTTAAATTGAGGGTTCTTTCCACTATCTCTAGTAAGCGTTGGAAAGGCAACTTAATGAAAGGATGAGATATGGCACATCAATATAATCGTATCCTATTGTAGCTTAACTAACCCCCCACAGACGTAGATCTTCCCATTTAGAGTTGTTGCACCTAGTCGACATCGCTTCGACAACATAGAAGGTACTGCTTCCCACTGCCCTTTCTCTGGTGAAAACCTTTCCACTGATGAGAAGATTGACATACCGTCATGGCCACCCATCACTAGAACAGAACAATAACAAAAGTTCATTAGAATCTCAGAAATAGGTGGTGGAGTCCTATTTCATAACCAACGCTCAGAAGAGGAGGTAAGAGGGGAGGAAGGTGGGCAGAAAGAATAGTAACCAGATATGACTTACCATACAGGTAACCATCAAGTACCGCTACTCCAGCAGCACTTCGTTGCTTAGTCATTGCTTCTCCCAACTCCCAAGTATTCTTTTCTGGACAATACACCTGAAAAGGGTGATAAGGCTATGTTTTACTTTGTGATTCGAAAGAACTTCAACTTATGGGCAGAACTCCTTCATCAGAACTTAACAACTGACCTCCACGGTGGCTAAACTGGTAATTCCATCGTAACCTCCACAAACGTATAACTTTCCATTGAAAAACGCAGCTGCCAATGCTGAACGTTTCTTTGTCAAGGGAGCGACCTAAAAATTCCTTAACACCGCTGAGTAGGATATGAAATAAAACTGTCTTTACCGGGGTCCACTCGTTTTTATTATAATCGTA